ATATATATATATATATATATATATATATATATATGAACAACCTAGTTTGACTAATGTTCTGTATTCAGAAATAATACCTTTAACTCCACAGCATGGCTTAAAACAGTTGAGGGTTTTGCAACACGAGCATATAACCAACATGAACATCATTCCTATACAAACTTTGTCCTTTCTCTACAAAGAAGGAAGCACTTGTCAAAATTGTAGTAACTACAGGAGTTTTATTGTTAAGCTGAACTGGACTCGTCTTACTTCCTTCAGCAGTTGTACCAGCTAACCCACTTCTGAGTGGTGTTTGTCATCCATAGAAACAAAGTTTGTTGTTAAACTGAACTGGACCCGTCTTACTTCCTTCAGCAGTTGTACCAGCTAACCCACTTTTGAGTGGTGTTTGTCATCCATAGAAACAGAGTTTGCTTGCTTTTGAAAAATAATAGCTAATCATAACAGAAAGGAGCAACACAGAAGATAGGAATCTGGATAACTATTCTGTAACTGTCTGGAGTGCACTATGAGGTTTATTTTCAATTCATCTTGGTTTAATATTTTACGTGCTGTGTATCAAGTCTTTGGTCCAAAACTGAACTCTAATCCCTTGCTCAAATCTGATCAGTTTTTCTTCTTTGCATATTTTCTGTATATGACCTAAGGAGAGTAATACTTTTACAAATCCTGTATGTTCTGCATGACAGCTGAACCTCTTTACTCTATGAATTAATTAAGATTCTATAACATTATCTTAATATTTATGGTCTCTTAAGTTGTTCACAAAGGAATATTTTTACTCAATATATTTCACACCATATTTACATCTCTGTCAAAGATCACTATCAAGAGAAAGGAACTTTGCATAATTATTTTAAGTGGTCAAATTGTGGCTTGTATTTGGCAGAAAGTGAATTTCACACACTTTTTTTGGATCATAGATTTTGACGTATGAAACTGCAATAGAAATTTGTGAACAGACTTTGGAATGCTGCAACCACGCTTCCTCAGTGTTTTGGAAATGAGGGAACAACCACGCTTCCTCAGTCTTTTGGAAATGAGGGAACAACCACGCTTCCTCAGTCTTTTGGAAATGAGGGAACAACCACGCTTCCTCAGTCTTTTGGAAATGAGTGAACAACCACGCTTCCTCAGTCTTTTGGAAATGAGTGAACAACCACGCTTCCTCAGTCTTTTGGAAACGAGGGAATCCTCAATTGCCTCAAATTCTTTTAGGCATGATTAGAGTAAATTTATCTATAAGACCTTTGTTTCCCTTTTTATTAGCTATATTATTTTGCCCCAGCAATACCAAGTGTGGGTAGCGTGTATACCCGATTCAATTTTATTACTCGTCAGGATCTCTACCAGCCTACCCTCAAATTGAATTTCTTTTAGGTACAATTAAAGTAAATTAATCTATGAGACCTTGGGCATAGTGAAATACATCATTCGAAAGAGTTTGACCTCCCGAGTCCAAAACTGTAATTATGTCTCAAATCGGTCAAGAGATGGAGCTATGAGCTAAATGTTTGTACTTAAAAAAAAACAACTTGGAACCATTCTATGAGCCGGTAAAAAAGAAAGGGGTCAATATCTATTAGTTATGGAATAGAAGTGCACTTTTGGTGATCACTTCATTTAAGCCAATGTTCTTTGAAGAAATAATTTTTTTATGTAGTTATTAATGATAATTAAGTGACGTGTTGATTTTTTTTTTTACCCTATTACGAATAAAACCTACAAAATATGTTTGCTTTTTTCAGTTTTATACTGAACTTGCTGATTTTAGTACAACTGAAAAATAAAGACCTTTTGTAGACTTTGTTTAAAATAATTTAAAGACAAAACTAACAGACTACTTACATTAAAACTTGTCCAAAAAATGTCTAATTGCTTACGAGTTTGTTTTAAGCTGATTTTTACTTATTATTATTTATAAATAGACAATACCTGATGGGAAAATGACCTGACGTATATTACTACATTTATGTATGGTTGTGTAAGTAAGTTCCAGTTATGCAGTGTAATTAGCATACTCAGTATTATGCAGAATGTCAAACAAAAAAATATATACAAAGACTATGACATTTTTTTTGTTTGCGAAGTACCAGTTTATGAAGTATGTGATAAAAATGCTTCCTATGCATTTAAATCATTTTATGAAGTACTTTATGGATGTTTTAAAATACGAAGTTTCAAAGTAAAACATTGTTTGTATTTCTTATTTTCTTAATGGTCGCAGCTTTAATTTCTAAGTTTTAGGCCACAGATGTACGGTTATGTTAATGGAGAAAAGGCTGAAAATATCTGTCATAAAAATAATTAAGATTCAGCATCAATTGACCTAAAACTAAGAAAAAGAGATATGGAGTTTTGATTATAAACTCAACTGTGAAGTTGATAATTGTTTATAACTTTTACTTTATGAGAAATGCAGGGTTTTATGTCAAATCCTATAATTATCAT